GGTGAAAAAAAAAAAAAAAACTCTGCTGTGGCTTAGATTATTTTAGAGGTAAGGAGGGTGACTCCTAGTTTCGAAGTCTAAGAGAAAAAACTGGCTAGCATGGCATAAGGCTTAGCCGTACGGCATGAGGCGGAGAAAAAGAAAAACTCCCGGGCGAGGGGAATCTGCGGAAAGTGATGGATAAGGACTAAGGAGTGATGCTTTGGAGTAAGATCCTTAGAGGACGAACTCCTGGGGGAGGGAGGGGTGGGAGGAAAGTGGTATGGTGATATTTTCTTGAATTCCAGAGACTTGGCCGAGGACAATCGGTGGAGGGACCCCCGACTTTCTGGCTGAAAGGAACCTGCCGAAGTGTTGGAAAGGCGGATAGTTTTTCGAGTTTATCCAGCGCCGTGCTTAGAGGGAGATCTAGGAGTCTAGTGTGTGTTTGGGGAATAACGGAGAGACTCCGTTCTGTTTCGTGTCTGGTCCTTTATTACATGAGCGAACAGTAAGGCATTCTCTCGCAATTTCTATTCGTTTCGATATTCTCCGTGAAAGTGAAAAACAAATCTTTTGATCTTTGAAAAAGCCTTTAATTTTCCTCTGGTTCCTACGTAATATCAGATCTTATTCATACAGTTCAAGTTTTTTCACTACCCTTTGGCTTGAAACAACTGGAAAATTCCTTTAGTTTCCTTTTGAATAACCGCAAAAAACAGAGCGAAGCATGTAATAATATCGGACAACCAAATTCAGGTGCCCTTCCGGTACATTTCTTATTCATTTTTTCTCTCCACTGTAACTTTCCTGATAGAAGGGTTGTGTTATCTTTGGAGGATCACGCTTCTATCTGTATATTTCAACTGGCTTGCATGCGGAAGGGTTTTCATCTTCCGGAACTGCAGTTTTTGTTTTGTTTTGTTTGTTTTTCCGTGGAAAAATATTCTTTTCAGATACCAGCCATTGAATGAGCTCTCGAGTTGGTTCTCAAATGCCCTCCTTGGTTTTCCAGGCGATTTTCTACTTCGGTGCTTCACAGCATCTTGAAAAATCAGAAATGCATTCATTGTTTCAGCTGTGTATGTTTTACAGACATTTAAACAACATTTCCTATAAAGATGTTATCGCTTTCTGCTTTAGGCATTGTCTTTCTTTATTAAAGGGAAAGGTCTCGTTGTCAGGGTAAGAAAATCTTTAAAATGAAAGTGCTAAATAACTGTGGATGATAATGGACCCTATAGTAATGGTGCTTCAATGTCCTTATTCTTCTTAGCCCCAGACCACAAATGTGACAGCAGTAGATAAAAATCTGTATTTTTATGATACACAGTTTTGCAAGGCGTCATTGTTTCCATGATGGTCTCTGCTGCTGCATGTTTTATAAGGCAGATGTAAAAAGAAATCAGCAAGCTATGCACATATGCATTATTTGAATTTTAGTGGAAAAATCCAATTAGTCATTGCATAGCAGGGCAAAAATGTAATCGTTTGTTGCACGTTTGTGTGTTTCTGCTCACTTTACAAATAAAATATGAACTACCAAGAAATACGTGAATATTTTAAAATACAAAATTAAGTATTTTTTGTTCTCTTAGATTTTGGAATCTTTAATATTTAGAAAAACAGGTTCTGAAAATTAAGATGAACAATGTACCTGTTTTATTAGTGAAAAGACACAATATTTATAAAGGATAGAATTTGAGGGGGAACCATTTCAGAATCATTTTGGGGGATGAAGAGTGATTTTTCCCTCTAGGAATTTTGATTATCTTAAGACAGTGCTAGGGTTGTATAGAGACAGCACATTAAAGATGTCTATGAAGATTAGATTTTTAATGTACCACCCTTTCAGCTGGCCTGGATGACCTGGAGAAATGCTGAATACATCATGGTGACTTTACAGTGCCTATTATTCATTACATGGTAGTAAAAAAAAAACTCATTTAGAACTCTGGTAGCATATCTGGGTGCTATTTATGAATCTTGGTGTTTTTACATAGCTCTAAAAACTGGAACAGCTATATTCTTCATAAAGCAACTGGACACATACTTGCCTGAGCAAATGCAAACACACTTCCCCTTTTGTTTCTTTTGTCCTTTTTTGATGCTAAAAGATTTGCTACCTATTTTCAATCAGTTTCACAGTTTCTAACCAGTGTTCTAAAATCAGCACTATTGAGAAGTACCCTGTGGCACTTGGGAGACTGAGGTATTTAAAATTATAGATAGCATTAAGAGTTTGTTAAACTATCAAAGCAAAGACGGCAAGACCTTTGAAGTCCTGTTCAAAAGAGAATTGTGGATGCAAATTAATGAGAAGAAATGTTTTCTTTGTGGCTTCCCATTATATTACATTGAGATGATCCACATTGAATAGCTCTGAGTGGTTGAAGATAGCCCATCACCTTGCTGCTGCTCCTGCTGCTGGTGGTGAACAGATGCTTCTCAGAGAGCTAACGACTGCCTTGTTAGTGAGCCAAGTCTCTAAACACGATGTCATGAAAATGTTCAAATCTATAGAAGTGGCAATTTAATAAGCTAATGTGAAGATAGAAGTTTGAGATTCTATTGATTGTGATGTATGTTATGGCAACCTGGGCCTGAGCTGCTTAATCCCATTAATTGGGTGAATTATACAAATCAAAACACTGATTTGAAATTTGTTGAGTGATGGCATTGAACAATCTGTGTTGAGAAGGATGATGCAAATCTGCAGACTTCTGGGTTACAGCTTTCTTCCCTTTTTTGGTTTGACTGTACAACCTATAATTATAATCTGATCAAATGCAAGCCTCATTCAGAAGAATTTTCCTTCCACTGTACGGTATTGCTAACTTATGTATAGAAGTGTGTGCATGTAGAAGACCACTGTCGGTTTGGCTTTTTTTTTTTTCAGTGAGCAGACTTAGGATAAATCTCAGTCAAATAAAATTATTTAGTAAGTATTAGGATCCTAATGACTGTGTTTTATGGTACAGTATTGAAACTTTATTATTTCATTACATGGAAAAGGAGCAGAATAGCAAGAATCTGAGGTCATAACCATGATTTTCTTAAATTTGTACTCTTTCAGGTTTTAAAAACAGTTGTTTCAAAGTTATACTTAATTGTACTTTTAATACTTTATTAGTATGTAAACTGGAAGGAATTAAACAATTAAAGAATTCAGTTCTATTTTGTAGTTTCCTTTGTAGTTTTAGATTGTTCTTAGATCTTTATCATTGTTTCCTTGGTGACCATTTACCTATATTTGAAAAATATTTTTTTAATTTAATCACTAGTGGATGATTTAATCTCGTGATTTTGGTTTTTTATGTGCTTTTTGAGATGGGCTGTCACTTTGTAACCCAGAGGGGCCTCAGACTCACCTTGTGGCCCAGACTGGCCTCATTCTCCTGATGTTTTGCATGAACCTATGTGCTGAGATTATAGGCGTATACCACTGTACATGGTGGCTCTGCTGTACATTCTTATTCAAACAAAGGTAGTTTTCTTCACGTGTCTCCTAATTTGAATTCATTTTGGTTTCTCTCACTCTAGACTTGATTTCATCCTCTCCTTCCCTCTCTTAGCATTTATCCATACTGATATTTAAGTAACTATATTAAAACCTAGGTCAGGCATTAAACTACTTGCGTGGAAATGTATAATTTTTCATTGAAATTAACCATTTTGTTGCCATTCTTGTTCTCTGTAGCATTTCTTGAGGCTTAAAGTGGCATTTTATAAGCATTTGTAAAATGTCAAGCTCAATTGAACAGAAAAAAGGGTCTACAAGACAGCGCAAATGTGGCTTTTGTAAGTCCAATAGAGACAAGGAGTGCGGACAGCTACTCGTGTCTGAGAACCAGAAGGTGGCAGCACATCACAAGTGCATGGTGAGTCTGTTGGCATCACTCTAGAGCCCTCAAAACCATTCCCGAGAGAGAATCTGAATAACACAGTAGTATACTGAATAAGAATGCTGGGAACATTTTAAGAAATGCTTTAATGCTATGCAATGTCATTTTAGTAGAAAATTCATTTTTATGTTTATTATCTTATTCATTGCCTTGATGTAATTATATACAAACCCTAATGTTTTCAAATGTCATCCATAGCTTTTTTCATCTGCTTTGGTGTCATCACATTCTGATAATGAGAGTCTTGGTGGATTTTCTATTGAAGATGTCCAAAAGGAAATTAAAAGGGGCACAAAACTGGTAAGTTGGCATTTCTGCCTCTTGAGCATAAAAAATGATTTTAAACTCACAAAGAAGGAAATTACTTATTTTAAAGTGTATTACTTTGTAAATTACTTTACATAATTTTAAATCGTGGGTTCTTTTTATGTTCTAGTCAGTAAAATCTAAAACTTGATTTGTTTACAACTCAACAAAAGGAATGAGTCAATATCTATACTATTGAAATATTTCTTCTCAAAAGGAAATTATTCTTAAAGGCTGTGATCACTTACTAAACAAATTTGCTTATTTTGCATGTATCATGTTTAGAATCTTCATTCAAAGGTAGTTTTCATAATTCTGGTATGTCTTCCCTTTTCATCATAAAATTAGTGTGGCTCATCACAAATTAAGAAGACAGTGCCTCCTCGGCAGGAAAATGACAACCATTGCTGACAAAATACTGTTCTGGGTTTGGCTGTATGACACAGCATTTATGACTTTGGATAACTTTTGGTGAATTTTCCAGGAGTTTTTCTGAAGCTGCACTAGAGTTATGTTCCTGTAGTTATCTTCACCACCAGTAACCAGATTGGCAAGATGTTATATTGCTCCTTGGGAGAAGTAGCATCATCTCCATTGGTATTTACAACACATGACTTACCACGAAACATTTAATTGATTGAAAAAATTTTCATTTGGCTGTTTCTCTTGCTTGAGCTCTTTATTGACATTACATCCATTTTTTTGTAGTAAGATCTTAATTGTGAACATATCTTACCATTCCAGCTTTAAACTGTATGTAATAATAGAAAAGATTTTTTAAATGTGATTTTTCTTTGGTGGTTTTACATTACTTCATAACTGCAGTGTGCTGATTTTATAAGAAACAGAACACTGTGTTTTTAGTTCCTGGTCCTTAAAACAAATTCAGATGCAACAAGAGAATGCTATTTACTTGAAAGTAGTGTTGTCAACCTTATTGCTTCATTTATTCCTTGTCATTATAAGTAAAAATCCTTCCTCCTCTTGATGTATTAGATCTTGCAACACTTAACGTACCTCCTGTAGTCAGACCAGGTATGGTATTTGTCCTGATACTGAAATAGTAATAAGAAACTCAGTGCCTTCTTTTTTGCATGTTACATGAAGCAGAAGTACATATCTGTCAGTGTTGCTATAGTCAGTCAAAATTCAATGCGTTTGAACCTGTTTGTAAAGAAAATACTAGCACTTGATAAAAGTTTTATTCTTTGGTTTTGAATGTTATAATTCAAATAACAATATAAAGTTATTAATCCCCCCAGATATAATGTGCTATAAATAAACTTATTCCTTGATCTAATGAGTGGAATAATATTGAGGGTTAAAAGCCCAGAAATAGTAATAGACTTGGACTTGGATCCCAGCTCTGTCACTAACTGGGTGACCCTGAATATGTTATTCACTTCCCTAGCCATGTATTCTTGGTCTTTTGATACAGCGTTTCTCTGTAACTTTGGAGCCTGTCCTGAAACTTGCTCTGTAGATCAGGCTGGCCTCAAACTCACAGAGATGTGCTGCCACCACCACCTGGAAAACCGTGTATTCTTGTTCAAGGGATAATGAGCACAGAGTTATTAGGATTAAAAGAGAATATACAAGACAAAGTGGTGTTTAGCACATAGTTAACACTTGATAAATGGTAGCCACCTCTGTAGTAGTCCTTATAGATGAAAGAACATCCTGCTAATGTCATTGAAGACTTCTGAAAGCATGCTGGGCAAGACAAGTCATAAGATCAAATATTTTTTGGTGCTTGAGATTGACCCTATGGCCTCAAAGATGCTAAGCATATGCTTTCCTAGTAAGTTACTCCTCCAGCCCTGCAGTCCTTTTTTTCTGGATAATTACCAGAGACACATTAATGTTACCTTAGACAAGCATGAACTTACTTGTCTTTTTGCCACCCATCAGTAGATACTGTCTTATCACATACTAAACATCAATGACAAAAATTGTTATAAACAGTAGAAAGATTTCCCATAGGCTGATAGGATGGCTCACTGATAGAACACTTCTCAAGCTTGCACACTGTTGCCAAGCACTAATTACTGAGAGCTATGACTTGTTTCAAAAGACACCCTGGGCATCTTGAATTGTGGAATAGTTACAAAAGAGGGGTTTATTAGAGCCTAGACTGTTTTCTTCTTCCTTCACCCAAAGTGTTAGAATTTAAATTACTTATATAGTGAATTGGAGAGCAGCATTTATGTTTCACTTTGAAATAACTTTTTAAAACTTAAAAAAAGGTTTTTATTTAATGTGCATGAGTGTTTGTATGTATGTATGTGTGTGCACTGTGTGCATGCCTGAGGCCCATGGAGTCCAGAAGAGGATGTCAGATTCCCCCAATATTGGAGTTGCCATGTAGGTACTGAGAACCTGGATCCTCTGAAAGAGCAACAAGTGCCCTTAACTCTACTGAGCCATCTTGATAACCCCTTAAAATTTCTCCCTAATACTTATTTTTATTTTTAAATATGTGTATGTTTGCATCTGTGTAGAGCTATGTGCATATGAGTGCAGTTGCCCATGGAAAGCCAGAAGACATTGGATTTCTTGGAGCAGGAATTATGAGTTGCCTGATATGCATGCCAGGAACAGAACTTGGGTCTTACATATATACTCTTAACTGCTGAACTTTCTCTCCAGGCCCTGAAATAACTTTAGCTTTGAGTTTTCTTCTTTACCTACATTGTTTTCCGTTAAATGAGGTACTGCCAAGTAACCAAAATTCTTGATTTTAATTTTTTTTACTTTTCCTGGTATACATTTGTCTAAGCAATAAAAGGACCACAAATCAAATAAGAATAAAAATAAATAAAAATATGAAGAGTTCTATATAAACCAAGTAGTAAGTATCCCTGGTCAGCTTTTGAAGGCTGGGCCTTTTTGCCCTGGCTGCAGTTCATATGCATTCTGAGATGGAAAGGGTCAGGAATATGCACTGAAAACAACCAAATGCAGGAGCCCAGGTTCCTGAGTCTATTCACAGCAGGTTTCAGTCAGTACCTGGTGTTGCTTCCAAAGGGATTCATTTGCCCATGGACATGGGGCAGACTGAGGGCTTGAGATGAACGGGTGCAGGTGGCTGGATGGGAGTCTCACAAAGGTAGGAATGCTTGGGAGAGCAAGAAGTAGAGGTATATGAGTCCTGCAGTCATTTGATCCTTGCAGCCATAGGCAGTTTTTCATGATTTCCATATCAGCTTCAAAGATCAGAAAGGAAAGCTATTTTGTATGAACATGTTCATCTCTTTTTCCGCTATCTTAAATATAAGGGCCCAAGATGAATGAAGAGAAAAAGAAAACTGTTTTTTGTAGTTTAGTTGTTTATTTTTCCATAATGACTTCCAGTTCCCTTTTTTTGTTTGTTTGTTTGGTTTTTTTTGGGGGGGGTTGGTTTTTTTGAGACAGGTTTTCTTTGTTTGGCTTTGGAGCCTGTCATGGAACTCACTCTGTAGACCAGGCTGGCTTCAAACTCACAAAGGTCTGCCTGCCTCTTGAGTGCTGTGATTAAAGGTGTGTGCCACCACTGCCCATCAACTTGCAGTTCTTATTGAAGATGTGTAAAGATACCACACCTGTACCCTGTGCTAGGTATGTTGTTTTTTGAGTCAGGATCTCCTGTGTCCTAGGTGGGTTTCAGGAGGATGACCTTGATTTGTAATCCTGATGATTCTTCCCAGGTTGTTGGAATATTATAGGTATATGTTACACCCACCTATAAAGTTTATCCTTAATTGTCCAGCCATATAGAATAAAAATGTAATTTCCAAGTAAAGTTCATAGTTACCATTGCTTTTTTGAATTTCTCTTGAGACAGTTGAGCGTGGTATTTGAAGAATGCATTCTTTCTGAAGCTACTTGTTGAGATCACTAAGATCTACACTGATCGTTACTTTTACTAATTGGTACCTGTGTTGGATAGATCCCAGATGTCAAAAGAATCCAGGAGGTCATGTAGTTCACCTTCCTTAGCCCTAGGCAAGATTACCTAAGTCACCCAAGATAACATGCTCCTCTGCTCTGTTCTGGTGTTAGGAAATAGTGATTCAACTCAAGTCACGAAATAATAATAGCAATCTATTTAGAAACTCATCCCTCTGTAATTCAAGTGTATCTCAATTTCTAATCTGTTTCCATTAAAGAAGTATTTAGGTGTTTTTCATCCCTTTACTTAAAAAGAAGCCTTCCTATACACAGTGGCCATCCTCACATGATTCCCAAACCTGCCTATTTTCAAATGGGAATTTTCTGCCACACCTTATGAACACCCCTGAATGTTTTACACTTTTGCTAGTAGTAGAACTAGCTGACATTTACTGAGTGCTCAGTATGTGCTGAGGACTAGGCTAAATCTTTAAATACACGATCCTAATTAATCCTCACAATCATACTGGGCGAAAGTATTCATTCTTGCCTTAGGCAAAAGGAAACAGGCTCCAAGAAGTAAAGTAACCTGAGTGTCTGTGGTCATATAGCTAGTAGGTGGCAGGCCTCAGATTTGAATGCAGGGCCAGTACTCCTAATCAGCAGGTGATACTAGCTGTCCTTTTAAGCTATTTCATCTCAAATCACATTTTAATAAAGTATGATGGTTTTCTAGTAAAGATTGCTGATTTTAAGACACACTCAGACTCCTATTGTGTAATGTATTCTATCAGTAGCATCATTTTGCTTACTGTTAGGACAGAACCTTATACACATCCTCGGTAAAAATCGTGTGTTCTTACATTGGAGATAGTTTTGTAGGCTCTGACTATAAGACAAGTCATTCTACATAGTCTACTCAGTAGCAAGTGAGTATGTGGCACTACAGAGGTAGGGTGTCTGTATTTATGATCTAAATAGATGATTCCTAGTGTGTGTGTTCCTTCTTTTGGGGGAGGGCTCTTCACTATTTAAAAGGTCAAGACTTCTTTCTAGAGATAGTGAAGTATAGGAATGAACGTAGGAAATGCTATACGCTTTACCAGATTAGAGTTGAGTAAGAG